CACCCTTGCTCAAATGTGCCAACCACCAAGTGTATCACCTTGTGCATGTGTGTTAGCATATTTTCGCAAATATTTTCAAGGATGTTAGCACTCCACTAGATCTAAATGCATATGTAATGAGTTAGAACATCTAGTGGCACTTTGATAACCACATTTCGATACAAGTTTCACCCATCTTAATAGTATGACTATCGATCCTAAATGTGATTACACTCGGTAAGTGTCTCGATCACCAAATCAAAAAGCTCATATCAAATTTCATCTTTGACTTGAGCATTTTATTTTTCTCTTTCTTCTTTTTTAAGTTCAAGCACTTGATCATCACCATGGTTATATCATCATCATGATCTTCACCATTACTCCACTAGAATAGTTCTACTTATCTCATAATCACTTTGATAAACTAGGTTACCAGTTTCGTTAATTCACCGAAATCAAACCACGCGGTGGGGGAACTGGGCGCGGTGGGAAAGAGGGACTGGGGGCGCGCCGAGGATAGGGACGGGGCTGCCGGGTGGGGCGCGCTAGGGCCGGGGCCGACAGCCGGGAAGCGACGGTCACCGGAGAACGGGGCGCCGGAGTTCGGACGGAGGACGGTGCGTGGAGTTCGGACGGAGGACGGGCCGCCGCGAGTGACGCGGACGCACCGCACGCTCTCGCGTGGGCTGTGTATCACGGCTCGGATCGAACGGACAGCAGGTGCGTCCGGACGCTGGCTTGCGTCAGGGCGTCCGGCGCTAGCTGCGCCGAAACTCGAACCTATCCCTTCCCCCGCGGTCCTGGTCGATGTTCCACCATGCGCAGATGGCGCTGGCGATGGCCATGAATCCATGATGTAGACGCTGCAGTCATAGATGTTGCTCTGCCTCGGGATGGTCCCCTCCCTCATCAAAGCAGAACTGCAGAGCATTGCCCCTCCTCAAGGAATCACTGCTTGACTGCGTGTCGATACGGAGCGCGTCGCCGAGGCAGGCGTCGACAGGGAGGGGGAGGTTGGACGCGCTGCGGAGGCTATCGTGGTCGTTGATGAAGCATGGCCTCTTCTTTGCTACTGCATTGGCTCTTTTTTGGTTGATTCACTACAATCTTATCAGAGCAGAGAGATGGCGACCGCAGCCCGGTTGCTCCCGCTGAAGTTGCACCACTGTTGCTTCTCCCGCTCCCACCCACTTCTCCACCACCGCCTTCCTTGTCTCATCACCATCTAAGGCTCCGAATGAACATTCTATTCTGTTCCATTCATCCACATGGTTCAAATCAACTGCTAATTACAAGTACGGTACGCATTCTTGTATTGCACTGGGTCAAAACTCTCTTAACTGATGAGCACCCCCTCCTCCCCTCCCACTAATCTATTATTCATCACAGAAAAATACAGAGAAGAAACACCAGCAACTGAATTGAAAGGGGGCAGTTTCAGCAGCACACTAGTGGCATCGGAATCGGATGCAGATTGATTCATACAGTATATGTACATCGACAACAGCTACTCTGTTATTTGCCACTCTATGATGCCCACTGATGTCCTGGAACAAGAACATACCATTTTCTAGCAACCAGCAAGCTAACTATTCTTTCCAAATTCGTTCAAGAAAATGCAACTGCCTCCATATACTGGAACAAAGTATCTGACAATACCATGCATCGTCTGTCCTCGTTTGTACTCCTGCATCGTCTCGTCAATACCATGCACGTCACACATCACAACCTCTGTGCTTGTCGACGACAATGGCTTCCTGGGGGGACAAGGCTTGCCTGGCTTCAGGTGGTTGTGTTCACCACTGTACACAATTTCAGCGATTTGCCCATCTATTGTCGTCTCCACCTTCCTCTTCACAGGGCAGCTAGGGTGAGTGCACTTGTAGTAGCTCCGTGGGAACTCGCTGCCTTTCACTTTCTTTTGCCCATATTACCCATCAAGTGACAAACGGCTGCGCATGCCAACCCGCCCGGCGGTTTGGCATGCTGTTACATGGTCACAACACGTGAAATGCTCTGCATTGACTTCCTCCTCAGATATGGCATCCGACCCGGCATCCTGCAAGTTAAGTTTAGCACAGTTCAAACAAGATTACATGATGATACCCTGGATAGTTCAACAATCGCAGATTCGACAGACAAATACTTGAATTTAGAAGGCTCCAATTCACAAAAAGTTGTCGTTATCAAAATACATGAAGCGTCTTTCCTCCTCCTGCTGTCCATCCTTGTTTGAGACAAACTCTGACCAACACAACAAATTTAGAGCATATTGACTATATTTGGGGGTTAGTAACAAAAAAGTATGCAAACCTACTTTACTTGCTCGAGGACAGCGAAAACCCAAGCTGAAAAAGAAAAGTAAATTTCTTATATGCAGTGAACAAAAGTTCATAAGCAGACAGCAGCACAAATGCAGCTCATAGCCTCATACCCCAAGCAGTAAGGCACCACAGACCATCGAAAGGAGACATTGACAACAGGTCCTTGCATTGATATGTTGAGATTGACAAATCACACCTAAACAAATCTCGGTGTGATGGTAATGATAATGCATTGTAAACATAAATAGAATGCTGTATAAGACAACTGACCAAACTCAAGGACCATAACAATTTTCATCAATTCTGGTTGTTCTAAGAATTATTGTCTACATTCTCTGAATGGTTTTATCCACCTTTACTTGATACCCAACATAATGCATAAGAGGATCCATAAAGAGAGTTTTCCGGGAGAACAAAAACTAGGTACATTGCCCCCAAAAGCTTTCCTTTTTTTTTAATATATGCTTGGAACCATAAAAAAATAAAAAGATGATTCTTGCTTCTGCAATATGATAATCATCAAGCGAGATATAAACCTCATATTTCAGGTAACCTTCAAGGACATCTAAAAGCATTAAGCATTCCTGCTCCCTTAAGCTTCACTTTTGTTAGAAAGTCCATCAGTTCATTCTTCCAGAAGTCATTGGGCCAATTTACAAATGAATCGAGGAAACATTAGTAAATGTTAATTTCTGCAATGCACAAACAAAATGTCAGGAACAGTCACCACTTACCAGGTTACACTGAAGTATTTGCATGCAAGTGCTGTTAATAACCTACCTGCAAGCAACAGAAACTCCAGAATGTAAATCCATTCCATGCTATGTGCAGCTTGCAAAACACGTGGCTAAACTTAGTACTAATGTAAAACCATTCCATGCTATGTACAGCTTGCAAAACATGGCTAAACTTAGTACTAAAGATCATTTCATGCTAGCACAGCAACCTTAAGATTTAAGATATCTATGATGGGACTTAAAATAACATAAATGCTGACAACAAAATACATTCTGAAATGCATCATTGAACTAAGACAAGTGAAGAAGGATTCAAATCTAAAGACTCACGCTTGTCATCAATCAGGAGAAAGTGAATTTGTATCTTTCATATTTATTCATATTTAGTCCTAAATAAAAACTAGACCTGGGGGGAAGCCACCCTCCGGGCATTGCATTAAGAAGAAGAACCTTCTCACACAGGTTCAGAAAACCCCCAAACCCCTGCCCTACCCATACACAGCGGCACCGTACCCCTGTGAGAACAGGGCCGTTCCTTAGACCTGTGCTTTGGCATGGGACAGACGAGGGGATTTTTTTAACCCCAGCCTGAAATTCGCTCCCACTGGGAGTCGAACCCAGGACCTGAGGAGTGCCGCTGGGACGCTCTAACCAGTTGGACTAGAGGCCCTTTGGCTATTTAGTCCTAAATTGCTTGCTAACAAATATGTGTAACCTTTATCCTTCTGAAATATTAGAGAACAGTAGTATAAACGTTCTGGATGTCAGTATATGAGAGAAACGAAGGTGCATATGTGTAGCAGCATTGGAGACAAGCTTTTATTCCTTTTGTTTTGATGGGGGCATCAGAGACAAGGCTTAGCTCGAGTAACAGACAGATTTGAAACAATTGATTAGCCAGCACATTTAAAGGGCAAACCTGAAGGTGAAGCATGCAGTTGCTTAACTCAGTTATTGCAGCTACCTCATAGCAGGATTCCCACAATTGTCATTCTGTACCACCCAATCCTCCTCTTCAATGGATTCAAAGACACTTGCTCGCAGCTGGGACTAGTCATGCAGCCAGAAACATCGTGACGAAGCTAGTCAAAGTATGTGGATTTGATGGACACAAAGCAAGGGATATTACATATCTGCCTTCTGCATTGTAAGCCTGTTTCAGTTCAACAAAGAGCACAGGTTTGAATTATCTACCATCATGCAGCACTTTACAGTTCAAATCTGACTATCACATCAAAAAGATAAAAACACGCAGTTTAAACTATTACAACACATTTGATAATACACCATGCCAACGTGGTTCTAGAGCTGCTGATATAAGAAAAATAACAGAAAATTTTAAACTACAAATGGACATAATTGATCTCAGGTAAAACAGGTTCAAGATTACCTAGTTCAACACCAGCTGTTTCCTGGATGATATACTAGCATGTTTTGCAACAAAATATCATATTGAGTGAAACGTTTGAGTAAGAGGGACATGTGAAAGCACATGTAATTTAGCTCTCGAATTCTAAAATTTCAGTGAATTAGTTTCAAGAAATCACACATGCACTCCTCGACCAACCATTTTTCTCTCTTATCAAGCTCTCAAGTGTCATCCAAATTCCAAACACACAAAGAAATACATGTATAGCACTGGCCTAGTAACCAAACTCCAAATGAATAGAACTTCAGCACGAACCCAGCCAAAGCACCTGTAATGTAGTTCTCAAATCCTGAATTCCAGTGAGCAAAGTTCACAGGAAACTTCAATACTTAAAACTGTTCAACCAACCGCCAAACATTTGTCTGTTCTCAACTAACTTTGAAATGTCATACAAACACTTAAAAGAAAACAAGTACCTGCACCTGTAATGTAGTTCTCAAATCCTGAATTCCAGTGAGCAAAGACCTTGATTAAGATAAAGAAGAGGCACCAGGTTTGAGAAATCCCTACCAGCAACTCATCTACTGCCTATCATTCTAATGACCCTGGGTCAGTGTCGCCCTTGGATGGGGAATTGGCCTTGGCCTTCTCTTGGATGAGAGTGTTGATTAGCTGCAGCAAGTCTGCCCTCATGGCCTTGACGCTGTGGGCGTCCACGTCCCTCCTCACCGCCTGGAACCAATCGCCTTCCCGGTGATACTGGCCATTGTTCCACCAGGCGCACAGAGCCCTGGCGATGGCCATGACATAGACACCGCAGTCATAGCCATTGGTCTGCCTCGGGGTGGGCCCCTCGATGAGCGGAACAGTGTCCCTCTTGGAATCGCTGCCTGACAGCAGGGGGTGGAGTGCGTCGGCGAGGCGAGCAGTGACAGGGAGGTTGGGCGCGCCGGGGAGGCTGTCATGGTGGACGAAGCGGGGCGCTGAGGGGCTAGTGGCCTTGTCAAGGATGAGGAGGGTCCAGTGGGAACCGCCCTCATGAAATGTCTTACAAGAATTTTAAAACAAGTCATCAAGCACACCCACAAGCATAAAGTTCTACATGTGCAGAATCACAACAACAGAATGGTACTGCGAAGTACATGGTAAGCTTTTCTATTCCCCTTCAGCATTACCGGAAGAAAGAAGCAAACAAATGAATCACTCAATGTCCTCATCGTCGTCGTCGTCGACATCATCATCATCATCATCATCATCGCCCTCTTCATGATCATTTCCTTCCTCTTCGGTTTCATCTTCAGTTTCCTCATCATCGCCAAGCTCTTCGCCCTGCTCAATCCAAAGTCTTGTGCCATGTCCTGCAGAGGCAGGGACAGAGGCAGTCGCGCCAGCCTCATAAGCTGCAAAGGGGTCCTCAAACACCTCTGGATCACTCTCCTCTACCTCCGAACCATCCGGAGAGAAAGGAGGCTCAATGTTGAAATGGCGCTGAATTGCTTTGAGCCGCTGATTGATCTTCTTCAGTCTTGCATTGTACTTGTTCAGTTTCATTGAGTTACTCTTACAAATGCAAAAGATGGACTTGAGAAAAGGGTGAACAGATGAAGAAGAGAATGGCTTATGTGTAGGTGATGAAGAGCGTGGTGCTCTTCTTGGTGCAGCCACAGGAGGAGATCCCTTCTGAGGACGAATTCTTAATGGTTCATGCTTCACTTCCTTCACAAAGTTCTTCTTTGTGACCTTCTCAATCATATACATTAGGTAAGGAGCATAACCACAACTTCTCGATGGATTAAAAGATGTGAGGCGAATCTCTTCCCAAATGAAGTCACACACATTAAATGGTCTTGCACTTGAGTCCATCCTAGCAAGCAAGTTCCTTGTAGTTGACATGATATTAGCAGCATCCCCCTCCTTAGGAGCTAGTGTCTTCCTAAACAAGCGGTTAAGATAAAAATAAGAGAGCAAAAGACCTTTAATGCTCCCAAGAATAACATCTTCATGAGGGTTATATATGAACTCTATTTGACTGTTTGTGAGCGCACGTTCAACATGAATTCTTTCTTTGTTAGCATCATCTGGACCAAATCCCAGCAACCTAGAGAAGGCCATGTATTTGATTTTGTACCACTCTCCCTCAGTCATCCAATGCATAGTCTTAGCTTTGTTCTTGTCAAAGTAGACGGTGGCATAGAATTGGGCTATTACCTCATTGCACCAATCATACTTGAAGCCCATGATTCTCTTCACTCCTTTGCTCTCACATGCAGCTATCACTTCTTTGAAGATAGGGTCATCCTTCACTTCCATGTACTTCCAATCAACCCACTGCATTTTTGAGATTGGATCCTTCCTTGGATATATGACCGTCTCGTAGAAGTCTTGTTGGAAGTGATTATAAAACCTATAGTCAGATGAGAGCCGCTCATAAACAAAAGGATTTGACTCCCTCTCCTTCTTTACTTGCCTGGTCTGGCCCTTGTAATTGACAGTTCGCCTACCATAATCACTAGGAGCAGGGCTATGCAACCTCAAAGGACCAACTGTTGGCTGTCCTAGTGGCTGATGTTCTTCTTCCTCATCCTCGGCACAGGAGCTAGAAGCAACTCCCTTGCCATTGCCCTTGTTCTCGCCCGTGCCTCTCCGTAGTGGAAAAGTATTACCTCTTGGCACAGTGGTGGTTCGAGCTGCAATCAATGGCTTATTAGTGGTCCTCATTCGAACCTTGGATGCCTTCCTCTTTGACACAACCTCGTGCATACGTTCGTGAGGGGCTTCACCATGTCGTCCATCCCCATCATTCCTTGCTTTGACCCTTCTCTCATATACACGAACGTTCTCCTTCTCACTGCATTGAGCTGCCTTGACAGACCCTGTGATATATAGATAACATGTTTGAGATTAGAAATTGGATTCAAAATTATGACTTAAGAACTGTAATTGCATAGGTCGAAAGTTGCAACCCAAAAATCATAAATTCAAGAGATTCATCCAATGGAATTGAAAGCTTTTCTAGATCATGTATCTATAGCATCTTAGCAAATTTAACACCAAAGGGATTTGACTCCAGAGCTGTACACAAAAAGATCAGGCAATTAACATTAGTGAGTACCTTTTGAAAGGGATCCATGAAAGCGACGTCGCTTCGAAGGAGGGTCAGAGTCCTCAACCACGAGGGATGAAGTTTCAAGTGGCTCAACATGCGAGTCCACATGAACATGACTACAGGAGTCGCCTTGAGCAGCCCCACCATGTACTCCTTTATCTGCTCTTAATGAACTGTATGCCTCGCCTCTATAGGCTGAATGGTTAGGGCGCCATCCTTGTGACTGCTCGAGGTGGATGGGTGCCTTATACCTTTCTGGACGCACCTGTCCTGCATGACTTTGGGGGTCTCCCAAGACCTGATTCCATCAAACGTTGACATTAGGGAATGCATGAATAGATAAATATAAGTTGTGAAATATGTATCTAGATCGATAATTATGAATAAAAACATAAGGTTGATTAGTGTAAAATGCTAATTTCAACAACCAAGCGTTCACTAGAACCTGCCTAGTTACCTCTCTTGAGCTATCTCATGCTCAGATGTCAAACTTTCAACAAACTCAAAACCAAATTACCGAAGACAGATTCCCCTATTAATACCATTTTGGTATTGCGATGGCCTCTCAAGAGCATTTCTGATTTGCAGTTCTCCATTTATCTCCCAGCTAACTGAAAGCAAGTTCAGTTGATCTCTGTCCAAATGTCCAAATTAGTGACTTCTAAGGAAATGCTCCAGCAATAACCCGAAGTACCTGAGGCTCTGGAGGCAGTGGCTGCGCCATTGGGACACCAGTCGCTGGGGCGCTGCCCTGGGGGCGTCGGCCGGCGACGCCGCAGATTGGGCAGGCGAAGCCTCCAAGACCCGGCGGCGCGGTGATAAGGGCACCACTACAGCCGCACGGCACGCGGTCTTGCGACGCCGCAGCGGCGCGCCCGGCCGCCGCCGGCAGAGGGATGGCGCGGCGCGGGCGCGGCTGCGGCTGCGGCATGAGCTCCGGGGGGAGGCGCGGCGCGGCGCCGCAGCCCGGGCATGCGAAGTCGGTGGTCCCGTTTTCCACCTCCAGCGTCTCGCCGCAGCCCGCGCAGCGCACCTCCACCGCCAGCGGCGGCGGCGTCGCCATTGGCTGGGAAAAGGGCAAAGGGAAGCTATAGGGGGTTTCTCTCGGGTTTTTGGGAACGCTGAGCTGCGGTCGAATTGCACTGTCCAATTTCACATTTTACTCCATTTTTTTTTTTGTCTCAGTTAGACTCTCTCCAACGAAAGTTACCCAAAGACACAGTGTAGTGTCAGACAAAGAGTTTAATAGCTATTTATTTCTTCTCCAACAATAAGACTCAAAGGAGAACACATCTTGTAAATTGGTCTTTAGAAGAGAGGATACTCAGATTTGGGTTATACCTCTCCTGATACCTAAAATAAGTCTTCCATATAGGTACCCTGTTGGAGGTTATAGGTATTCCGGTGGAGACCCATTTTGGGTTTGGGTCTCCTGATGAGTCTCCTGTTGGAGACAACCTTATTGTTCACACACCAACACCCCAAAATTTTATCCTAAGTACTGCTCCCTCCGTCTCCACCGTCGAGGAATTGAACCATCTTAACAATCCAAAGCATCTATGCAAAGATTGCATCTACAACAGGCAATCATCAGTGGGTAGGTGGAACTTTGAACCACAAGTGAGTACATACTTATAGCCGGCCTACAAATGTTGGAGAAAACGAAGAAGAGAAGAATTGATAAGGACAGGAAAAAGGAGTTCGACGGGATCTTAATATATTTCTAGTAGCACATATGGAAAGAAAGAAACCGAAGAACATTTCGGTACCTCGCTACAACCAAATGAAGTGCCTACCTAATCAAAGAAGACATTCAACAGTATTTTATAGTGTTTGAAAATGATCAAGATGGATAACAAGCCTATGTTTTTAGTCTTGTGACGTTGTTCGGCTGGTTGTGATTTTGATGTGTCTTTTGGGTTCTCGTGTTTTATAAATATTTTGTACATCTTTTTTTAAACTTTCTCCTACTAATATATTTCGGCAAAGCTTTTGCCGACCCTTTCAGAAAAATAACGAGAACCAATTATGCGAACAGGACAATAATTCTTAAAACCTAGGAGTTTGTTGGTTTATGGATTAGACTACAAGGTGTGCAGCTGCGTCCGATGTACATGACACGATTACTTGGAAATGGACATGATGGCAATTATTCCACTCTCTAGGAGTACAGGATATAATTTCGTGGTTCACACCGGAAATTCCATCATGAACTCATCTGAAAGGCACGGGCGGAAAATAAGTGCAAAATCCACACCTGGACCCTCCTGCACAACAAAATCCTAACGGTGGATAATCTACAAACGAGATATTGGCCACACCAGGACCATTGTGCCTTGTGTAACGGCCCTTTGGAGACATGCTTGCATCTATCCTTGCTATGCTCCTTCGCAAAATCCATCTGGGATCAGGTGCTGTCTTGGGAAAAGTTTTCAGTGCAATGGTGTCGTTGTTTTGTAGACCGACTAGTAAACTTATACGAAAGTCGCGCTGCTCTGGGAAGACGATGGTAGCATCCAAAAGACACAAGGAGTTATACTGGTTCAGGTCGGAGCCCTACGTCCAGTCTAAGAGATGATCGAGTGCGTGTTCCTCGCTTGAATGCTCTGAAGTTCTTACAATGGGGGGGGTGCAAGAATGGTGGAAGAGGTAGGAGAGCTAGAGCTAGGAGATGGACTGCCCGAAGAAAAGCTTTGAGAACCCAAAAAGTATGAAGATGAAGATGATGGAAAGGGTGCCATGGCTGCCCTTACATAGAGTCCGGTGCTAGGTCACATACAAAGAAGGAGATTCTCCCGACCGAGGGGTCATGAGCCTGAGGGAGGGGGTCTAGCTAACTTGGCTTGCAAGTAACGTCGTCTTGTGGTGCACGTCCGAGCGTGGCTATCGTCATGATCTTGTGCCCATGTCGTGGCATGGTGTGACGTGGTGCTACAGGGCCAGCTATGGCGGCATTGTGGGCACGGTGGTGTTTCGCCAGCCGTCCTGCGCGACGTGGTCTCGACGTGGCCATCATCATCACCTCCTAATCATCCGAGGGGCATCGTATAGGAGTTGGTAGCCGCCCTCGGTTCGCCGATTGTCTTGCTGTGGTGGAGTTGGTGGCCACGATCCTTGGCTCGGGGGATCGTGGCCCTTGCTGGCTTGGATGGCCCCTAAGTCAAGGCCATCGTCATGGATCCCATCCCGTGGTCAGTGGAATCGTACACATATCTCGTCGGGTCATATTTGGATGGTGGGTCTCCGTACTAGCCATCATGGCTTGGCGGTGTTGTCTTGTTTGCGCTGCGTGGTGCAGGGGTGGCATCTGATCGAACCGAGGTGACCATTGTCCCCTCTATCCTCGCAGGGTTAGTGCGGCGTGCCTGCTCTTGTCAGAGCACGCGCGCTTGGTGAACTCGATCTCTCCCCGTTCCGCATAGGGGTCAGGACGGTGAGAGGTCGTGAGTCGATACGTAGCGTGCAGCTAAGGCAGAGGGAAGGGACCGTGGCAGTCCCCGGCCTTAGTGTTTGATTCGGCTACGTGGCTTAGGTGGGCCATGATCGTTTAGGCTTATACTAGTTGGTATACCGTGGGCCATTCGGGCAGCTAACTAATCGGTGTGTTGAGATACCCGGGGTATCATAACCCCGACAGTAGCCCTAGAGCGTTTTTGCTATCACAAAGTGATTGTGAAAGCTCTGATATGCGCGCGTGTTGAGTGTGGGTTTGTAGTCATGGCTGTCTGAGCTTCGTCGCTCGACGCCTTATGGGCTAGTGCGTTCAATGCGGTAGGTGGCTGTTATGTCCCGCCCTGCTAGGATGCACTGACGGTGCAGCATGTGACTGCTGAGCCCTACCATGTCAGTGTGCTACGTATCGGGGTTCATAATCCAGGCGGGGCCGAGTGGTCTTGTCGACGCTGTACCATCTCCGCCTTTGGGAGGATCTCGATTTCCCCGACCTCACATGGGCATCTGACATTGGTTGTGACCTCCCGTGATGCGCCACGCGGCGCGAGGGTCTTTAGGCTTGCTTTGTCCGCCCTTGGGCCTATAAATAAGGGCCTTCCTTCCATTTGAATCACTTGTAGCCACTTCTACGAACTTGCTCTTAGCCTTCCTTTGAGGGGCTGAGCTTAAGAGAGGAGTTTTGAAGAGAACCGTGAGGTTCCAAGCATGCGACTCGCTGGGGGTCATTTGCGGTGGCTAGAAGCCAGCACTGCCCCTTCCAACAACTGGTGCTGGAAGGGGACTTGCAAGCGGGGAAGGAAAGGATGACATGGCTGCCGTGTAGGGGGCCATGCAGCCTTTGGGACACGGCTGCATTTTGGCCTCCCTTTTGCTCCATCTTGGCACCAGAGTGGTTGCCAAGGTGCTTGTTGGAGCTAGGTAGTCCTGCCGCTCTCTTCCTCCCTGCACTCTGTTCCTTGGGGGTTGCGATGCTGCACGAGGGCTTGTGAGTCATTTTTTGCTTTGTCTCACCTCCTCCTGTAATGTGCTCCCCGAAGGCTTTTTAGTGATACCACCACTTGGGTGGTATCGGTTTTGTATTCCTTGTGTGCGGATCGACCGCACTTTCCTTATATGCGGCTGGGCCCCATTTGCCTTGTATTCACGATGTTCGAGTGGAAGTTTTAAGGAATTCTCATCTCAGGATCCCATGATTTTTTGCGAGGTCTTGTCGAGCCCCGAACCATTTGGTCGGGGTTGGATTCATGGGCCCAAGGATGTAGGCTTCAAGTGGGTCATTGACCTCTCGCCGCGCGAGGCGGTGAGGTCGTCTTGCGACCTTGGGCCTCTCCTCTTGAGTGTTTGCGTTCGATAACCTTTAGTGGGCCACGATTGTGTCCTCATGTCTGTTTAGGTGATCCTCGTCAAGCTAAGGACCGATCTTTTTGGGGCCTAAGCGGCCTTGACCATGCGTGGTCAAATTGTTATCGTGTTTTGCGAGATCCAACGCTGCTTCACGAAGAAGGCGTTGTTGTGCGACCTTGACCGCTCGCTCCATCGGACTCCCCTGGGGGAATCGCTGACCCTCGCTAATATGCGGGGCTTAGGAGCTAGCTCCAGGTCGTGGTTTTGAGACGCGGGGCGGAGCTAGTCGTGGCTTGGCCCCGATTGACGGGATCGTTTGGACCCGGCTCTGTGTTCCCCTTGTCGCCCTTTCTGACCCTGAGGGGTCATACTGCCTTGTTATAGGCAGGTTTAGTTTTCACCCCACGTAGGGAGAGGCTTGTCCACCATAACCATGCGGTTGGAGCGGTGCGCCTCGTCGGGGTCGATGGGTAATTTGAGAAAGACCCGATATCCTCCACAATCGATGTGGAGTTCAGCTGTGCCTCATCGAGAGACATCCCATAAATCCTCGGCCATCCAACCCGTTGGTCCCCAACAGCCTCCGTAGCGGCCAGAGGGCAAGATGCCCCTCGAGAGGGGGTCAACTCGGGTGACTTCGAAGCGGACGACTGGAACATAAGGGGAGATGGTCGTGTGCCTCCGCACCACCGATAAGAGCCGCAGGGGCCCATCTCACCCTGCCCCTATCCCTTTGTGGCCTCGAGCCCATCTAAGGACTGGCCCAAAAGTAAACTTCCTAAGCACAATGCGAGTTCGTGTTCGCGGTGGGTCACTCTGCGCCCAGATTCCGAGGTGTGTGACCTTAATCATGCAGTATTTATGGCTCCCACTCGCGAGCAGTAATGCACCCTCTGAACGAGGGCGCATAAGCCGAAATGATATGGACAATGGGAATGCGCAGGGCTTACATGGTTCGGGTTGTTGCGTGGGTGGTCGTCGCTCCGCCTTCTGCCCGGTATTCGCCCCTATTCTACGAGATTATCGAAGTGGTTAGTAATGGTCATAGAGCATGCGTGGGCCTGGATCACTTGTCGAGGATATTTTTCGACTATAAATCTGCTGGGTCGGTGTGCAGCGGGAGGCGTTCGCTTCCCGTCCCTCGCATCGCCTTCATTTCTTTTCCTGCTCGCGCTCTTGTAGTTGTCCTTCCTGGTCGTGGTGATGGGTCACAGGAAGCGATAGTAGGAGGAGTCACCTGAGGTCGATGGGCCACCATCGCGCCTT